CCCCAAAACCCCAAAACCCCAAAACCCCAAAACCCCAAAACCCCAATTCTAAGTTAAATTGCCATCACTGATTTAATACTTATATTGATTTAAAAATATCATTATTCAAGCGTATAAATCACTACTGTCATAATTAATTACAAACTAAATATCAAAAATGCTAATCAGATATGGACTTAATAAATAGATTTTCGTTAGATTTCAAGATTCGATTGTATCCTTGAGAACTAAAAATATTAGGAATTTCCAAAAGCAACTTTCTTTATTTGCAAACTTTTGCAATCTTCTCAACAACTGTGATTTCAAGACCATTGTGAACAAGTCTTAGTATTTCAAGGCTTGGTAGATAATTCTCCTTTAGAATTCTAATTAATTAATCAGGTGCAAAAGCATGCCAATAATTGGTCCATTCAAGACATAATATTCTAAGTTTTAACTTTTTATCAAGAGCAATATTAAACAGCGTTGAAAGTGTATTATCATATATACAACTTTCTAACTTGATAAGCAAAATTTCTAGATTTTCGAATTATTGTATCAATTTATACTACTATTCTATATTTTCATTTTACACTATTGATAATTCTTTCAACATCTTTGATCCATTCAATTTGTCAAGAATTTTATTACCATCAGTATATATCTATCCTATCTTTGAGATGTCTTATTTTACTTATCTGTGAATGATCGTTAGATCAAAGAATCCATTGAAGGTTTTAAAATTGTTATTAGTACCAATTATATCAAAATGTTCTTATTTTATTTGAGTGCCATGCTTGAACTCTTATTTAACAGTGATTGTATTTATTTTATAGGTTAAAGACTTGATGTTGGTGAAAATCTTATGAAAATTGGAAATAGCATACATGTGATAAACACTGTTATAATTCTTTACCACTATGCTTAAATTCTGTAAAATACTATCTTTAATTCTTAGCTTCTTCAATATTCTGGATTTTATCTTTTAGATGTTATCTTAATTTTCGTAGACTAGAATAAGATTGAGATTTTTGATTGATTTAGAGCATTAGATAAGTAATTCAGTCATCAAAATCGTATTTTCTTATCTTAAATCAATAGATAGAGTCACCAGAACTAAAATTTTGTTAGTAAAGAATTTAGTCATGTTTTGAATTAATTAGAATGAAAAGTCTCCTCCATCTAAATTTAATTCTAAATGTAATTCTGAGAGGTTTTAAATAAATGCCTCTTGGAACAATAATCTTTGAATATTCATTTTACTTTTTATTATTTGCAGACTTTTTATATAATAGGCATTAAAGTAAACTTACTATTAACAAAGTGCATCCCCCAGAATTGATTACTCAATTTTCAATGATTTTAGAAAAGGTAAATTAGCATTAAAAATGCTTTTATTTTTCTTATGAGTATATGAGATCAAACTTAGCCTTTGTATATTTATTGGAATTGATTTGATTATATCATCTTTTAAATCTATAAAGTTAAGCATAAAATCAAGCACAAGTTCCTAGAGCTTATCGAAAATTCCTAATAAAGGTAGAGCTTTTTCTTATACACTTAACTTTAATATTTATGGCTAGAAATTCTTTTACTTTAAAAGCATTAGCTTTTACTAATCTTAACTTAATTCATTTTCTTAGTTAGATTAGATAAGATCTTTTGACTCAGAATTATATTTGAGTGTTCTAAGTTTTACATGCTTATTTAGAGTTAAGTAATTAATGACATCTTATACCTAGAGGTAATATATCCCCATGAAATCAACATGAGTTGGATATTGGTTTTTTTGCTTGAGAAACAGCTTATGGTAAGTAGATTCTTCTATGTTCAGCATTACTACTCTCTAATATCCTTCTTGAATATAAATTTTAATCTCCTACAGATTGCTTGTTAAGAACTTTCTCCCTCACTTATTTGTTAGAAATAAAAATTGAATCGCTTGTTGCTAATGGTCGTAATATGAAAGAGATTAGA